AACAAAAAAATATAATTTTCTTTCTCAACCTTAAGAGAAGAAAATAAAATTATTTAATACAATTATTCTTCCGTTTCAAATTAGAACAATTATTATTTAAAAAATTTAAATTACACTTTCTAATAAAAAAAAATTCAAGCAGAACATTATAATACCGACAACATAACCAAAATTCTTGCGTTGTTAAAATATTTATATAAATACTCGATTCATTAAATAATTATAATAATCCCGTTCACCGAACGAACCTCGTTGATAGTCAAACTCAAACTAAATCTAATTAGAATATTTAAAAATATATTCACCTCAATCTAGCTTATAATTTCTGGTGAAAAAAAAATTTTTAGTGCATAAGCATAACATAACATAATATGATAATCGATAAATTCAAGTCGTATCAGTTTAGAGAACGAAGAGAGTAAAGTTTATTCAACCCTTATGTATAAAAAAGATATTTTATATAAAGTAAACAGCAAAACATAACGTATTCATTGCTCACTCATAAGTTAATTTAAACAAAATATGTTGAAGAAGGAACAAAATGGGAATAATTCAAGTAACGAAACGTATAAGAAGTGAAATCGAAACCTAAAGTTAAGTATGATTGTACAAACGGCGTAATCTCTTTTGTTTGATTTTCTTTTAAATAAAAGTATCTAAAAATACAAATTTGTTTTTGTTATACACGATTTTTACATGCGAAAAAGAGAGAAAATAATTTAGTGTGGGGAATAAGATAATATTGAGCATGCAATGCAAATGGTTTAATATTTTTATTTTTTATTGCATTCATAAGATTTTTATTATATATTTAATATGAATATGAATACATGATTCATAAAAAGAGAATAATTGAATTGAAATGAAAAAAAAAGAACGATGGATATAAAAAAAGAGCATGGATAGAAAGAAGAATAATCGAAAAGAATACCCGCCATACCGTTTTCTTAGATTTAATTTGTTTGCAATTTAAATCTAAGATTTTAAAAAGCAATATTTGTTGGTAGAATTTTATCAAAAAACCAAAAAGACACATTAGAAGATTTTATATTTCGTATAGTAATTATACGAAAAATCTTATATTTTGTAAGATTGTTGGTACTCGTAGTAAACAAATTCTTTAACCAAACGAACACATTAACTCTAATTGTTTTGTCTTTTGAAAAATATGTAAATCACAATTTTTTTCACTAAATATAGGTTAAAACAAAGTTGGCCTTATTTACATATATATGAAATGCTAATGGAACGAAACAAACGGTACATTTCTTCTAACAATATGAGGCATGGACTCTTCAAACCATTCAGTAAGTGATGAGTCCCAATGTATCAGGATTAACGTAATATTTTCAAAATAATAATATCATTTTCAAAATATCACGTTTAAAATTTTTTACAATTTAAAATTTACTTTTATAAATAAATTAAAAATAAAAATAAGATGCCAGTATCCGGATACGAGTGTAAATTAACACAAAAACAACTTGAGAACTAACTTGATTCATTTGGTTCATATATAGAATTGCTTTAGCGACACAGACAAAATGTGGTACATACATTTTAAATTGGATATAGTTAATACCATTACAAAAAGTTGTCTTTATTCGTTTATTTTATTAACTATTTTATATAGCAAAAATAATTCACAAGTAGCATAACATTGAAATGAACACAATTAACATTTCTATATTCAAAAGATAATTAAGCACATTATATATATAAAAAAAATACAAAGATTATTCACTTAATTTCATATGTGAGTATTTTTGTCGTAAATAACAACATCAAGCTTTAAAGTATCTTCCAGATTATTTCATTTCATTCAAAAAATTTATCAGATTATGCTTTTATGCGTTCTTTAAACCGAGGACAGCAGCAGTAAAATAATTATAACAAAACAAAAATCTGCCTAAAATATCCATAGACATGCAATCAGAATTAAAATGGAAGGATAAAAACATAAAGAACAAAAAACAAAACAAGATTAAAAAGGAAAAACATCATCCAAATAAAACATTAAAGGAAATTTAACCAACAATAAGAGCTGTGAACAATGAAGTGTCCAAAATGAACAACATATGAACTCAAAAACCCGAATAACATAAAAAAAGGTACAATTGCTAAAGTGTGAGTGGGAGCTGCCAATTCATTTTTTTTTCATTCTTTTATAATTCATGCCTTTATTTTATTCTCCCACAATTTGTATAATGCATGCATATATGTATGCACTCGTATGTGTATATTTGTTGTGTATGTTGATATATTAATTTATACTATATATACATATTTGATTTACTATATGTCTGAATTTGAATTTTTTTATGTGCAAATGATTTATCGTTGGTTATGTATATGTATTGATAAGTGCCTATATTTGTAGTTCGGTGGTATTGCTTTATCATTTTTACTATAGTTTTTTTTGCAAAATCTTTACTCAGTAAAATAAATCTAAAGATTATTAAAAAAAAAAATACTCCAAGTTATTCGAAAAAGAACATGGAAATCACGAAATGAAAAAACGGAAAGATTATAACAAAAAAATTTGGTCATAAATGAAAAAATGAAAAAACCATATAACCAGTAAATTTGTTATTTTCGTAAAATTTTTGGTTTCTTAATTAAAATTTTTTTCAACAAAAAATTATTAACATCATCATTAATAATATACAAACAGATATACATAAAAATAATGAAACAAGCTTAGTTGTCCCGTTGTAAAATTTTAACTATAGCAACCTTTACATCTCTTTTCGGGATCAAAAATTTTTAAACACGATTTAGTACTGAATGAGAGACAGCAAACGAGTAACAAAAATCAAATTAAAATTACAAAAAATATTTCTTTTAGAGTCTTATTTATATAATTTTTAATCTTTTTCTAAATATATGTATACATATTTGCAATATGTCAAGTTTATCAACATAAATATGTTGAAAACATTGTATCTCTAAATATTACTCAATATAATTAAGCAAAAAATAAGAACGAAAATAAGAGCAAAAAAATGTTTTGCTTAATTCGATGAAATTCTTTAATACCCTTTCATGTATCTAAATAATCTAGAATGAATTAAGAGGACAATTACGGTAACTTAGTTGCATGATACAAAGTAAAGGACCATCACAAGACACAAATTCTACCAACAGAAAAACAGAAAAAACAAGTAAAAACAAAATAATAGAAAAAGTACTCTACTAAAGAGAAAAGTTAAATTATCTCAGAAAATAATCAACATCCACACATTTTAACTGGTCGTAAGTTACTATAAAAGTCATTCTCTGTTGTTTTTTTAATAGCCACACACATGTTCTGCAATTTTATTTTTCTACACATTTCATATATGCAAAATAGATGGAAATAGAGACTGAAAGAAGAGAAAATACATTTTATTGCATATATGTATACTTAAAGGACATAGAGAAGATAATTTTACGTAAAAATGTGATCCAGACAGGATAAAACGATGGATGAATAAAATAAAATAATGAAAATAAAGCAAATAAAAAATCATGAAAGAATATTTTTTGTTTTGGTGACGCGCAATGAAAGTGTTAAAAGAATATTGATTTTTCTCGTTTACAGCATTATCTGTTTGTGCTGCTGTGTTTGTTGGTCATTCTAAATATAAATAAGTTTCGGACAAATTTTGCTGCTCAAAGGATTTGCATGAACATTTTTGTTTTTATCATATGCTTTTTTTTCAAAATCAAAATGGATATTTGATTTTAATCTTAATAAAGTATGAATTTAAAAAAAAATGGAAATAAAAATACTCATGATTTTATTGATAATGATTATATTGATAACAAAATTGATGTTGACAATAAATTCTATATGTAGAAAATAAAAAATCAATTTTTGCTTTTTTCTAATAGTTTGGCGACTATAAACTGAACGACAGAGTTTAAAAAAGAAAAATCTAATTTATAGCATAAAATTGTTGAAGATTTTTTAAAAAATTTTTTTTTGCTAAAATTTATGTGCGCTTTGATTGAATTAAATGCAGCTGTTGGCCTTTTCATTCTTTTTATATTAAAATTTAAAAAAAAAAGGCTAAAGTGCAAATTTTTTTTTTTATTATGATTTGTTGATGAAAATTTGCTTTTCACGAAATCAAAATCTTTGTCACAAAATTTTCGGGAAGCGAAAAATGCATTTCTATGCAAAACTTATTGCATATTTTATTTGTGAATATTGTATATGTGTCATATATGAACAATATGTATTCGACTAGTTAAAAAATATTTTATTTATTGAATGGATTTGAGCGATTTAAGTGAATGTGAAACACAATTAAATTATTTTTATTTTCTAAAATTGAATTGATTTTTTTTCTAATTCCCAGGATTTGCTATAAAACAATTTTTTTGATGAATATATCAAATTATTTTAATAAAAAAAAAAAAAAAATCAATTGAACACGAACTGGAGCTGACAACAAATAATTAAAGTTTTTTATAATAATTTTGTAATATCAGAGATTGCTTCAAATTATGTTTGGAAGTATATAAGAGTTCTACTCGTATAAGGAAGGTATTTCCCAGACAATCTCATGATTTACAAGATAATATTAAAAGCAGAAAGCTTCGACTTTTGTTTTAATTAAAATTTGTGACAAATTCACGGAGGACTTTAGAAATCAGGAATCAGATTTTAAAAATTGAGTAAAAAGTCATAATTGTTAAGAAAAAAAATATTTTTTTATTATACAATAGAGTATAGAATAAATACGTTAATTGTTTACAAATGCTGGTCGCTTTGTTTTATCAGCAGAGGATTTACTAAATTGAATTAATGATTTAAAATATCATAAACCTAAGGTAACACAAGCAAAAGATATGAATTCCCATTATATGTAGTTCTTAGTAGTTCCCATTAAGAAGTTTAAAACAAAACAAAAGTCTTATACATAGTAGAAGAAAAATTTTGCAAATACGAATAAGAATTTTATATTCACAAAGTGAAGGATCAATTTTTTTGTATAATTTTGAAATTCATGTATTTTTAAAATATTAAAATAATTGTACATATCTTACCAATTTATTTACAGTAATTTATATTTATTACAGTTAGTAATAATCGACTCACCTGCAATAAAAAAGAAAAAAAAATTAATTACAATTGAGAAAATTTTAGACAAATATGGTAAGTATATTAGTATAGTACGCAAAATAAATGCTGTTAAATAATTTTTCATTTTTTTAGTAAAAATATTAAATATCATTTAATATTTAAGATATACTTTATGATTTATCTTATTTGCAACCAGATTGTTAAAAAGAACATCATTGATTTAAAAATTGTTAAAATCTGAAGCATATTATCACAAGTATCATTTTCCAATCTTTCAACATATTTCGTGCATTAATTTTAATAGAAACTAAATTTAAAAACTTAAAGCATAATTTCTTATAAATTATTTCAACATATTGAAATTACAAAAGTTTTATATTTTTGAAACTATAAGCAATTACATAAATTTCTTTAATTACACCAATAATGTTTTTTTATGTCCAATTCATTAAAACGTGTAAATTATTTTATCCGAAATAATCGTCGTTACTAACGTAAATATTGATGAGAAGTTATTTTACTAAATTATAACCATTTTTAATATCATATATAATATATTACAGTTTATATTGTAATACACAAGCCTAAGCAAAGTAAGATTGAATTTCTGAAATATTTGCAAATTAAAATCAATATTATTTTGAATCACATATAGATATATACGTAAATATGCATATGAATATGTGTAAAACTATAGATTTACGTAGATATTGCTCTCATATTGCTCTTTATTTCGTTTAACTTAACGATCAAACTGTTGAATAGCAAATTTTGCCCCTATAATTTAAAATTGTAATGTGGAGTCTTCACTATAAGTTCTTTCATTTTTTTTTCTTCCCACTTCTTAAATGACAATTTAGTGTGAGCCAAATAATTAAAATACGATATAAATTGTGGTTTAATTAATTTTCTAAGGGGCAAAATATTAAGTGTGTATGTACGATAATCATATATAATAAAATCATTTTATATAATTCGGCTTTAAAGACTTTCGCAAACTATAAAACGGGAACAAAGTCATCTAATTTCATTTTGAGTGTTTTGCAAAAAAAAAATTAATTCTTTTTTATCATAATGTATGTATATTTTTCATTTCATCGCCTGTAAATTGACCAAGAGACCCGCACCCTAACATTTGATTTTTTTTTCTTTGTGGATTTTAATTTTACGATGGTTTAAATATTTAGGAATATTAGTCTGCTTAAAAACATTATTTACAAGATTGTTAATAAATTATTATCATTTATTTAAATAGGCATTACATTACAAGGAAAAAGTCTAATTTTGGTTCATACTTCTATATATATTCATTTCAAAATATCGAAATAGCAAAAAATCAAAAAAACAAAAAATTAGACTATATTCAATTAAGACTAAAATATTTTTTAAACAGTTGTAATTTTTTAGTGGTAAAATATTGGTCAAATTTAATTTGAACGAGAAAAGATATAGTTGAGCGTGTCAACTCTGCGATACCCGTACGAATAAATGATCTCGGAGAAAATTTACATACAGTTTCATACAATCTCTTCTTACTTTTTCTATGTCTAGTGCTATTTTATACATATATGGTAATTACCATATGAAACCACACAATCTAAAATAGTTTTACTGAAAATTATGGTCACATCACCGAATTCGTTTGTTTAAAATTTTAGGTTTGTAACTTCAATAGTTTCTAAGATATGGCCAAATAACTCGGAGTTGCGTGGCACCTAAGAAGCACTTTTAGCAAATATATAGTTAACATTTTACCATATCTGTTTTTGCAAAATTTTAGTACTGTAGGTTGAACAGTTTTTAAAATATAGTCATATAACTTTCCAAGTTGTGTGGCAACTACCAGAAGGATCCGAGCAATTCGCTTGGGCGAAATAAAATATTCTCTTGGACGAAATTTCAATACCATAGCTTCTATAATTTCTGAGATAAAACCAAAAAAATTGACCTGTACGGCAGCTACTAGAGCAACTGCTTCGATCATATCCAATTTAAATACGATTCTGAAATTATTGTAAGACTTAAATAAATATCTACTTTTTATTATAATTAAATTTCTTTCGTTTATATGTACAATTACTTTAAATAATCTCTATCGCATAGTTATAGTTTTATCTTAAATTAAAATTCATTTAATGTGTGTATAACTATAACAATCTGCATTTTATATATGTTTTTATTGCAGCACTTTTCTGCTTGGCAAGAAAACGAAGTTAGTAGCGACAGCATTAGTAAGTGGAAATTTAAAGAAGCAACATATGTATTGGAATTAAAACTCGAAGCGCGAAGATAATCAAACATGCCATTAATTTTTCAATGCGATTACATTAAGAATTAATTAATTGACAGTACGCTCCTATAAATTTTATTTATTTTTTTATAAAATTGGGAGAGAAATTCGGTTTCAAGTAGTAAATTGAGTTGTTTATGAAATTTAATAGATCCTTATACCACATTATTCTTGATAATTTTTATTTTTTGTTGAGTAGGTTTAGACTATCAATGCTAGGAAGCCATGCTTGCTTTTATTTAGAGTGGCGTACTCACTCAATTGCACTAACGATAATAATGTTCCAAATGATTAACTGATATTTTTGTCAATTTTAGACTTTTTGATCTTAAGGAATAAATAATGTACGTTTTAAAATTGTATTGGAATTTAATTGAACTTTACTAAGTGATTATTTAGATTACCCACAGCTGGATGCAATCATTTGTTGTTTCTACAATATTTTCAATGAATATTGAATATTTTTCTAATTCTTATACACCTATGTATATATTATTCAAGTTTTTCGTCTCGAATGAAATCTATTGAAAATGATTACCACTCTGTGTTATATAATATTTTATTGCCATATTAAGAATGAACAAGATTTAATTCTAAAGGGAGAATAGAATGTTGGTTTACGAAGAAAAATAAGGTATTGAGATAAAGAAAAAATTTATATATATACATATAAGATTCGAATCGTGAATGACGTCTTTTGGAAGAGGAGAAGAACTTTTGAACTTTAATTCTATACTTGATAGTTGGTTACTTATCTTTATTTGGCCAAAGGTTCCCTTATATTACTGAAATACTTAAATAAAGTATGTATTTATTTAATATGTATGTATAAATCAATAAATTCAGTTTATTATGAGATTGTAATTAATAGTTGCTAGACATCAGGGTTTCTTTTTTTTAAATGTTATTTTAAAATAAATTTCTATTAACCCTAGCATTTATTACGTTCATTTTAGATAATACAGTAAAAGTATTGACCCAGTTTAAAATTAAAAAGCTACAATAGTTGCTTGATTTATTTTTAATTCGGATTTATTTCAAGTGGAATCTATTCATACATTAATTTAACTGTGATTTTAAGAATATGTATCAGTAAAAATTTTATGGGGAAAAACCCGTTAAAAGTAATGGTTCATAAAGTGGGACTTTATGGCTTCACACTTTTCAAATTTAAAGAATTTAAAAACAAATCTTCTTGGTAATCGTCTTGGTAACTTTTCAGATGAAAATGTTTTTGGTAATTTTTAATTTTGCTAAATGGTTCTTTAGAAAATCTTCTAAAGCTTCTAAAATAAATCGACACACATAATAAGAATGATTTAAGAAATGAATTGGAGTTTTTCAAATAAAAAATTTGCCTGTAGTCGAACACAATATCTTGGGAAGAAAAGGTTTTTTGCATTTATTGGGTTAACATTGACTTTGAACTACTAAAAACATTTAAAATAAAAATTTTATCAACATTGACTATATGTAGTTTTTTATACTTTTGTACCTTAAACGCAACTTTCGTACTCCTATCTGTTTATATGTAGATATTATGCAGTTTTTCCATATATAATAATCATCTAAGTACTTACTCCCTTTTAAGTTATTTTGATGGTTAAGAATTTTTTCTTTTTCTAAATTCCTTTATTTATGCTCTGCATTGTATTAGCGTGTGCTATATAATCATTTATTTTCGGGATTCTTTACCTTGTTTTGTACCTTTGTTTTTTATTCATACATACGTACATATGCATATGTACTTAGAATTTTGTTTAAGAAAAATTAAAGACTATTTCATGCTGAGATGGGAATTTTGTTGGACATTAAGATTGAGTGAAAAAATGAAATCGTTTTGCTACAATCATTGCAAGAAGCAGAGCAAAAGAACAAAAAACAAAAGAAAAAAAACGATAAACAATACAAAAATAACTCTGGAATTTTAAAAACATTTTTTGCATTTGTTGCATTGCAGCTCTTTTTACTTCCTTTTATTTTAATTCTTAAGTAAGAAAATGTTTTTTTTTTGTTACCCTAAAAGGCTATTTATTATTGAGATTGGAGGATTGCTAAAATTGGTAGAATTTAAAAAATTTTCATTTTCAAGGATAAAAATAACAAGAACTCGTTTTTATTGCTATTTAGTGATAATTATTGGTTATTTGAGATGAGGAAAACTGTCGGGTATTAAAGTGGGCAACGTTAAATAAAAGTCAATCCAAAAAGAATGCTACATAATAACATTTTATTTTATTTTTTCGTTCTGAATGTTCTGCATTTGGTTAAAAAAGAGTAGTATATAGAAGATATGAATTTTGCAAAAAAAAAAAGTTAACTAGCTATATTTAAAAAAAAAAAAAACAAAAGATTGACATTTAAATTGGGTCGTTTAAGTATATTGGTAGAATTGAATAATATAAGAGAAGTTTGTAAAATTTGTGCTATCTTAATTACTATTGCGATATAAAGAATCACGTAAATAACTCAAATATTTAAACGCTTTCAATAATTTAATGTATACTTACTCTTATATGTATGCATATCTGTATGTCAATATATATGGCTACATTATTTAAATTGCCTTAAAGCTACAATAATTATATACACATATATACATATAAAAGGTGCAAAATTAAAATAGCTATTATTAAATTGGTAATTGAAAAATGCGAAACAAGAAAAAGTTTCTAAAAATTTTAATACAAAAACCTTTTTGCTTTTAAAAATTTTGTGAGCTCTA